AGTGGAATTCATCCACTCTACATCAACTTCATTGATTACCAGAAAGCATTCGATAGTGTGGTGGATAGGAAAACACTGTGGAGGCTTCTTCGACACTATGGTGTGCCTGAGAAAATAGTCAACATCATACGGAATTCTTATGATGGATTCAACTGAAAAATCGTACACGAAGGACAGCTAACAGATTGGTGTCAAGCAAGGTTGCTTACTCTCACCCTTTCTCTTTCTCCTGGTCATCGACTGGATTATGAAGACGTCGACGTCTGGAGGGAAGCACAGTATCCAATGTACAGCCAGGATGCAGATGGACGATCTGGACTTCGCAGATGACCTGGCTCTTCTATCACACACGCAACAACAAATGCAAGAGAACACGACCAGTGTAGCAGCAGCCTCTGCAGCAGCAATAGGTCTCAAAATACATGAAGGAAAAAGCGAAATTCTCTGATGCAACACAACATGCACCAATCAAATCACTCTTCATGGAGATGCCTTAGAGGACGTTATTACCTTTACATATCTGGGCGGCATCATCGACAAACAAGGTGGATCCGATGCAGATGTGAGTGCGCGGATTGGCAAAGCAAGATCTGCATTTCTACAGTTGAAAAATATCTGCAACTCCAAACAACTTTCAAACAAAACCAAAATCAGCATTTTCAATACAAATGTCTAGACAGTTTCACTGTATGAAGCGGAAATTCGGAAAACCACGAAAGGCATCATCCAGAAGATACAAGTGTTCATTAACAGTTGTCTACGCAAAATGCTTCGTATTCGTTGGCCAGACACCATCAGCAACAACAAACTGAGGGGGAGAACAAACCAGATTCTTTCAGTGGAGGAGGAAATCAGGAAGAAGCGATGGAAAAGGATAGGACACACACTACGAAAAGCACCTAACTGCGTCACGAGACACTCCCTCACATGGAACCCTCAAGGTGTAAGGAAAAGAGGAAGGCGAAGGAACATAATACGCCGAGAAATAGAGAAAGATATGAGATGAATGAACAAAAGTGGAAAGAACTAGAAAAGGAATCTCAGGACAGAGTTGGTTGGAGAAGACTGGTGGGCGGCCTAAGCTCTTTCGGGGGTAACAGGCGTAAGTAATTAATTAAGGAAGTAAAATATAAACCTAGGAAATGTTATACTCACCAAGTGATTAGTTTCAATAATTAAGTTTTTACAATTTACAGTTAATGAAATCGAAAAAAAAATATTGCATCATGATCATCAATTCAACGTTTTATTTTTGGGACAGAGATTTTAGAGGTTTTGTGTTTTTACACATTTGAAATCATCAATCAATCATTGTGTTAGACTACCATTAGAAGAAACCTGGAAGCACTGGTTGAAAAGACGTGACCAATCGAGTTTCAACCCTGTCGGGTGTAGGCAGTAACTACCAAAGACAAATGAGTGAGGTCGCGCAAAATCCCTAGATCAATCAGAGTTAGACATTAACACCGTTGAATGCTGGCCCGGTGGTTTGCGCACAATACCGAAGGTCCCAGGTTCGAATCCTCTGAGGTGCAGGAGTCGTGGATGCACACTGCCAGTGATGAGTCCCATAACAGGATGAAACAGCCGTCCAGTGCTTCAAGGTTTCTAATGGTGTTCTAACAATGACTGATTGAGGATTTCAACGTTTTATGACAAATATGAAATTGTGCGTTTATAGATGTTGAGAAATTGTTGAGTTCCATTGAAATCACAAATCGATCAGTGTTCGACTGCCAGAAGGAAAATCTAAAATCACTGGACAGCTATTTTATCCCAGTATAGAACTTTTCAGCAGTGCGCATCCATGGCCGCGCAAGTAGGAATTGAACTTGCAAACTTCATTCCTGCATGTATGCTAAGACTCCTCTATCACACAGATGTCATCCAATAGTGTTAATGTCCAAAATTGAATCAACTCACGTTCGTATGCGATACCGAAGTTCTTGGGTTTGATTCCAAAGTACAGGGGTAGTGGGTTCATATTGCTGATGCGTCTCAAACTAGATAGAAATGGTTATGCAGTGATTCTAGGTTTCTAATGGTCAGTTCATAATTTGACCACTATGAAATATTGGTTAATATATTAATTCAATTCAAAAGGTCACTATTATTATTATTATTATTGTTATCAATGAACCATTGAAATTCTGAAAATTTCTTGTTTATTCACATTATGAGAACATTAGGAAAAAAAATTATTACTTTAAATTTATTAAGTAGTATATATATAAATTTCAGTTAAATGAGAGAATCGACTTTTGAATTCAGTTAACAAAATCTTTTTATTTAGTGAATAATATAAACTAATTGGTGAGTAGTAATATAATTATTCAAACTCTATGTCATGATGATCACTTTTTTAGAACAACACTGAGACATGTTCTCGTGTTCCGACAAGATAGATGCACAAAGAGGCAACCAGATAAGGTAGTTAGTATAACCGCAAAGGATATACTTCATACAACGAAGTAGTTTTAATTAAAATCATTGAATGAGTTCAAGAAATAAACTATGAAATTGAAAGTTTTTTAAACTTACTTGAGTTATTCAAGTTTTATTACAGTGACATTCAATGGAAAAAGTTTGTCAGCAGAAAAAACGGAGTCCTATGCACTATTTGTTTACAGTTTTTTACGCGAGATATGTCGTAAGGGATGTACTGATGAAGGACATCCGTTCCTTATAGAGAAACATTAGTTCAAAACGTCTATCTAAGTCGTTTTCAACAGAGAGTAGAAAAGAAAACTCGGAAAAACGAGTCTAGAAATCGCGTTTAGAGAAAATATTTTCGATATGAATCTGTTATGTGAGAACGGACATCATTTCTAGTTTGTATACCAGATTAGCACACAGAGAAATGGAAACATCAGTACAAACCCCATAATAACAGAGGTTGCAGCAGTGTTAGCGGTAATCAAAAAGATTGGAGATCGAAGATATTATTCACAAACTATAATCTAGTGAAATAAACTTAAGAAGAGGTAAAACATTCACGCGAAATTCAAGAGATTAAAATTTCAGAGAAGACAAAGAATGTATGTATTTGCCCCATTGTAAACAATTTTGCTCTATGTCATTCAAAGTTTCTCATTACTGATTGCAATTGTCTCGTGAACACGAACCAGGTGGTCTACATATTCTGACATGGTCTCTCTAAATGTCACTGAATCGATGGACAGGTACTAAGTTTCGATTTGACTGTCCTTAACTTTCTTCCAACCTACCCCTACATGCGGCAGTAACGCGCATTCAAGTAGTCGTCGGTAAACCATACGTAACATATGTCTCAACCACATCAACAAATGAAGATTCACTTCTTCATCAATAGACTTGCCATCCTTACCGAGTACCATATTTCTAAACTCAGGGATAAACGAGCAATGTTCGAGAGCACCTGTGATAAAAAAACCCTAACCTACGCATATCTTCTACTCTTACTAGTCATGTGTTTTCACACCCGTATAGTTGGTTGGAACGAACTGCTGAACAGTAAACTCTTTCTACAGTCGGTAGACATATATCTCGCCTACAAAACAGGTGACGCAGGTTAACATAAGTCCATCGAACTTTATCTCTACAGAGGTTTTGGCAGACACTAGGCTATCAGGATTGACTATATGTATATATATAAATATTTATCACAACAAACAACATTAATCATTTAAACTGTATTAAACTGCTTATTGAAAAAACGAAAGAATTTTTTCAAAAATCAATTTTAATTCATGACATTCTGGAGTAGTTAATGATGATCGATTATTACACTGTAGGTGATTTCATTCGATTTCATGACGCAATTTCTCAGAAAAAACTTGATTTTATTTTGTAAAAATCAAATTTCATTAAAATTCATCTATTTTCAAATGATCAAACTTTTGTAAAGTATAACAGATGATTATTGAAAAACCCACAAAATATTCAGGTGATTAAAACAAAAAAAGTTTTCTATTGAATAATTTGAATTTCATAAAGCTAATAATTAAGTTGTTTAAATCTTTTTATTGACAATTCACAGATTTAAACAAAGAAATATGAATTAAATAGATCTTGAAATTAAATCTGAACTAATGAATGAGAACTACTTAAAAAAATTTCATTATAGAATTGTGAAATCTTAATGAGTTTCAATAAAATCATGCATTGATCAATGTTAGACCATCATTAGAAACATGGAAGCACTGGACGACCGTTTGGTCCTGGCATATGACTCATCAGCAGTGCGCATCTATGACTATTGCAAATAAGTATTAAATGCAGGATTTTTGGTGTTGCACTGGAACGATTAACCTCGAGACGACTGAGCCATCATTCAGCAGTATTAATGTTTAACTTCAATCAATCCACGATGTTGCACAACTATTATCCATTGTCTTTAATGGGTAACTGTCTCACACCATTGATTAAAGCTTTTCATACACACACACACACACTGATAATTCCCTTACTAGGCTAGTCGTTAGTGTCAGCATATGACAATCATGTGTAGTTTATTTAAACAAATCGAAAGTCAATACTACTATTGAACTTTGTACATTGTATGTACACACTTCACAGAATGAAATTCAAGTTAAAAGATCTCTCTCTCTGTACTGAAAGAAATTCTTGTTTTCATCATTAGAAATTGAAACACCTTCTACCTTAATGTTGGAAACGAATAACACACAAACCACTTTTTTAAGGGAGATGTATTTCAACGCTTAACCTTTGAACCACTGAGTACACAAGACCGAATGTCCTGTGATTTACAGGAATCTTGGATAATCACTGCCACTGATGCGTCGCACACTAGGTTTCTTCTTCTAAAGCTGATCTAACATTGATCGATACTGAATATCAGTAAATTAACTCAACAATCTCTACAAGCCTAACAATGCAAAACCTTATTTATGTCAAACTTTTTTTATAGGAAAAAATTAGTAATACTACTTATTCATTCAAATACTACTTTTAATTTACATTAAATTAAAATAATTCAAGAAATTAAAACACAAACTTACATATTTTTTTCTATTTAACAGATGATAGATAATTGACAATTGAATCAACAGTTAGTTATACACTGGGAATAATTTTCAAATTTAACATTTATCACTACTGACAAAAACTAATAAAGGGGCATGAATAATAATAGTTTGTTGGTTTTGGTTGTTGTTGTTGTTGTGAAAATCCCGTCCCCTGTGAGTTATTTTTTTCCCCACTAATTTGAAACGTTGACCAATTGGTCAGTTAGAAGAGTAGAGAAATGGTCAAACAAACCAATCAACGTTATGAATGAGTAGTGTGTAAATAATAATTTGTAATGTATATCATCTATTTAACCAATTCTCAAGTTGTTATCATTGATACTACTGATAACAGTAATAGTAGTAGTAGTAGTAGTGTAGTGAAGCAGAACACAGGTGAGGGCAACCGAATTGTATTTAACGAAAATTACAGAGTTACTTAGTAAAATAGGAAAACCATATCGTAAACGGTTAATTTAATTTAAATCTTTAATCCATCATCAATGCATTGTCTGACATTTCACTTATTCATGCGTTTCATACAAATTCCATCGTGTTCTAACTCTTCCTTTCTTGATCTTCCGCCATGTTCTGCTGCCAGACATTACGTTTACACTCGCGTCATATACCACTTATAAGTAGCGCGCACCACAGTAGTAGTAATGTGAGGAGTAGTAGTTTTTCTAGAACGTTCACATAAAATGAAGTGAACATACACTATTCAAATATTTCGGAAAAAATTCCGATAACTGGAATGTCAAAATCTAGTGAATAAACACTGACTGACTTGCCGGTCTCAAAGCCGGATAAAGGAGAAGGGTTCAGCATGAGGTTAGAAGCGACCTCATCCTGTAGAAATCCAACTCGCTGAGAAAAAAAACGCTGCCTAGAAAAATAATTCGTTGATCGACAGCCTATACTCCATTAGGAGGAAGAGACGTAAGTAAGTAAGTAAGTAAGTGGTGAGTAAGTAAGTAAGTGCATAAGTAAGTGCATAAGTAAGTAAGTAAGTAAGTAAGTGCATAAGTAAGTGCATAAGTAAGTAAGTAAGTAAGTAAGTAAGTAAGTAAGTAAGTAAGTAAGTAAGTAAGTAAGTAAGTAAGTAAGTAAGTAAGTAAGTAAGTAAGTAAGTAAGTAAGTAAGTAAGTAAGTAAGTAAGTAAGTAAGTAAGTAAGTAAGTAAGTAAGTAAGTAAGTAAGTAAGTAAGTAAGTAAGTAAGTAAGTAAGTAAGTAAGTAAGTAAGTAAGTAAGTAAGTAAGTAAGTAAGTAAGTAAGTAAGTAAGTAAGTAAGTAAGTAAGTAAGTAAGTAAGTAAGTAAGTAAGTAAGTAAGTAAGTAAGTAAGTAAGTAAGTAAGTAAGTAAGTAAGTAAGTGCATAAGTAAGTAAGTAAGTAAGTAAGTAAGTAAGTAAGTAAGTAAGTAAGTAAGTAAGTAAGTAAGTAAGTAAGTAAGTGCATAAGTAAGTAAGTAAGTAAGTAGGTTAGTAAGTAGTATTAATCACTGAAACAAAAAATAATCTGACAATTACATACTGAGAATGATAATTTCAATTACTGAAAGAAAAAGAAAATTTTCTTTTTTTAACATGAAATAAATTATATATAGAGTAGAAGTATTGTGATTACTTGTATTTCGTTCTATTCGGGATTCGTCAGCTGGACCTACCTGTTGCATCCAGTATTGTTTGTTTAGAAACGTCACCGCTCAGCTGCCCAGTTATGATAGCTACTCATCATCTTAGTAATCAGGTGAAAATCAGTTCATTAGTGTGGATTATTTAAATGGTACCATTGATGTTAGGGGCTTCAATTTATCAATCTGTCTGTTATAGGTACATCCTACGTAGATTGCCTCAATAGTGCCTTCAGATTACAAGCATTATTATCAGTGATGGCTTATGGCTAGCAGTGAAATCCAGTAATCGAGGTTGACAGACCAAACTACGAGTCAAACATGGAGAAATTAGAATACTTCACTTCTCTACCTGAAGTTTGTGCTGATGATGTTGTTCAGCAGAAGAGCAATGAAAGATCCACAATCTAACCATATCCAGCTTAGAGAACGAAATACCACCATAACACAATAGCGTTTGAAAGGAATGGTTATGGGTTTGCATAGAATGCCTATTAAACAATCAAGACTGATACTGCAAACTGTTTCAAATCCACTTAAATAAATGTCAAGAAACATAATTATGACACATTCGGATTGATAAAATTTAAAACCAACTTCAATGGCTACACAATATATAAATAAATATATACTACTCAATAGCTGAATATATGAAATCTAATATAAAATACATTGAAATATTATTTAACAATCTTTTCAACAAGAAATCTAATGAAACTGATGTAATCTACTTGTTTATACATTTTACTCAAACCTTTTATATTTTGTGGCAGTTTAAGTTAAATTTGCTTACTTACTTGTTTACTCCTGTTATACCTAATGGAATATTGGCTGAGAATCAGCGTTTCGCAACTACAACTGGAGCCCTTTTAAGGTTACTGTCAGTCCTAAAATCTGATAATATAGAACGACTGGGCATGGGGTTGAAGAGTCCCGTACTAGGACGAAACGTCCATCCAGTACTTCCAGGTTTCTAATGGTAGTCTAACAGTGATCAATTCACGATTTCATTGTAAGGCAACAATCTCGATGAATTTTTAATGAAAATACGTTATCAGAACTAATGAATTACTGTAAGCAGTTGTAATGATCAATGTTAGGCTACGACTGGAAACCTAGAAGCATTGAACAGCCATATTTTCATAGAATGCAACTTACAATCAGTGCTCATTCAGGACCTCGTAAGCTGGTTTAACACTATTCATTCGGAAATACCAATGAGAAATAACTGCAGCTACGTCATTCTTAAAAGTTGAATTTCAGTTATTCACAACAGAATTCAGTTATCAAATAATATTCGATAAGAGAAATCTACGTAAACTACCTTTCAAACAGTGATTAATTGGAAGTCCTTAATTCATTTAGTATAAAAATAGATCGAAAAATAATCTACAAATCTGTATTGTATATTTTAAGCATTCGTGTATTACTTACCCTCTTACTTACGCTTGTTACCTCTCATTAAGCATAGGCTGCTAACAATCATTCTCCAACAAACTCTGTCTTGCACCTTCATTTCCAGTTCCGTATAACTGATGTTCATTGTCCTCATTTCTGTCTCTGATTCTCAGCGTATTATGTTCCTTAGTCTTATTATATTCCTTTGCTCTTGAGGATTCCAAATGAGGGCTTGCCTAGTAATTCAGTTTGGGGATTTTCACAATATGTGTCCTATCCGCCCTCTTGAGTTTTTCATAATTTTTTCCTCAACTGAAATCTGGTTTGTTCTATCCCATAGTGTACGTTGTTGCTAATGGTGTCTCGCTGACTGACCTGCAGTCTCCTATGTAGACAATTGCTGAAAAATACCTTTATCTTTTGTGTGGTGGCTTTCATGGTTCTCTGAATTTCAGCTTCATACAGTTAAACAACTGGTTTGACATTCATATCATAAATTTTGATTTTGATATTGGCTAACAGACTGTTTTTTCAGTTACAAATGTTTTCTGATTCCAGAAATACTGCTTCTGATTTGTTAATCTGTGTCTTAAAACCTGCCTCAGATTCACTTTTTGCTAATCAGTGATGCTGTACAGATATGTAAAGGTTTTTACGTCTTCCAAAGCTTCTCCATCAAATAAATTTGGTTAGTGTATGTCGTGTTATATCGGTCGTATATGTTGGGACCTGTTGTTGCAGAGACTACCTCTACACTTGTCGTGTTCATCTGCATTTGTTGTTGTGTTTGAGATAGAACTGCTAGATCGCCTGTGAAGTCTAGATCGTCCAGCTGCTGCCGAGCTGTCCATTAGACGTTGAAGTCGTTATAATCCGGTCGATCACTATTAGAAAGAGAAAGGGCGAGAGTACGTAACCGTGCCTGACACCGGTATTCACCCCAAAAGCTGCTATCCTCCATGCACGACTTTGTAGTTTAGTTCATCTTAAGGATTCCTCATAATGTTGACACGCCGTAGTACCAAAGAAGCCTCCTTGGTATCTTGATGAGATGTGTTACTTTCTAGTCCGTTGGTACTTGTTGCTCATCCAGAGTTTCGCTGAATAGGATGTGAACTATCTTTGCATATACTAATACGTCTGCTTTCAGTGCCTCTGTTGGAATGCTGCCTGTACCTGCCTCTTTTCTGCGCTTGATTTTTTCAAATGGCCATACTGATCTCTTTAATTGTTGGTGAGCCAGCATTGATTAGGAGATCCGTAGATGCCGCTTCGATGTTAAGAGGGTTCGGTGGAGCTGATCAACACAAGAGTTCCTTAAAGTACTTACTTACTTACTTACTTAGGCCTGTGACCCCCAATGAAGCATAGACCGCCAACCAGTCTTCTCCAACCAACTCTGTCCTGGGCTTCCCTCTCCAGTTCTGTCCAATGTTTGTTCATTCCTCTCATATCTTTCTCTATTTCTCGACGTAATGTATCCTTTGGCCTTCCTCTTTTCCTTTTGCCTTGAGGGTACCATGTGGGGGGTTGTCTCGTGACGCAGTTCGGTGCTTTTCGTAATGTGTGTCCTATCCACTTCCATCGCTTCTTTCTGATTTCCTCCTTCACTTTAATCTCGTTTGTTCTTTCTCACAGTAAGTTGTTGCTGATGGTGTCTGGCCAACGAATACGAAGTATTTTGCGTAGACAACTGTTCATAAACACTTGTATCATCTGGATGATGCCTTTCGTATTTCTCCATGTTTCCGCTTCATACAGTAGAATTGTCTTGAAATTTGTATTGAAAATCCTGATTTTGGTTTTGGTTGAAAGTTCTTTGGAGTCGCAGATATTTTTCAACTGTAGAAATACAGCAGTTTCTTTGCCAATCCGCGCACTCACATCTGCATCGGATCCACCTTTCTCGTCGATGATGCTGCCAAGATATGTGAAGGTGTTAACGTCCTCCAAGGCATCTCCATCAAGAGTGATTTGGTTGGTACATGTTGTGTTGCATCGGAGAATTTTGCTTTTTGCTTTATGTATGTTGAGACCTATTGCTGCTGCAGAGGCTGCTGCTACACTGGTCGTCTTCTCTTGCATTTGTTGTTGAGTGTGCGATAGAAGA